GTGCAAGTATGCTGTGGAGACGGTACAGGACGAAGAGCAGCAGCAAGCAATCACAGTAGCATATCACCAGGGGAAAACCAATCACCGAGGCGTTAATGAGACGCTGCAGGCATTGCGTCGGAAGTATTTCTGGTGGGGCATGAAGAGGTCCATCCAGGAAGTCATTGGGAAATGCGAGATATGCATGCGCACAAAATACGATCGACACCCCCCCAGAGGAGTTCAGGAGGAGACACCTACAGGGAATATGCCGCTACAGGACCTTCAGATTGACACGTTTACCTGGAAAGGGTTTAAGTGGGTCACGGTAATCGACATATTCAGCAAGGTGGCGATGGCATACCAAGTGATGGAGAAGTCAGCCAATGCAGTTGCGGAAGCCCTACAAACCTGGGTGCAGTTCTATGGGGTCCCCGAGAGGATTACTTCGGACGGTGGTAGGGAGTTCGACAATGCCGCGATTAGGGAGGAGGTGAAGCGATTGGAAATTGCGTGGCATTATAACACCCCAGGACATCCTAAAGGTAGAGGCGGTATTGAACGGCTGCACAGTACGTTAAGCGACCACGTCCGTGTATATCAGGGTGAAAAAGGGTTGGAGCCGGATGTGGCAATGAGGAAAGCGGTAACAGCCTATAACCACTCGATCCACTCCGTAACGGGGTTTTCACCCATGGAAGTTCTATTCGGGATGCGCAGGCCAAGGCGGGATTATGGGGAAACTACGCTTACCGAACCGTTAGTGGATCAAATTCTCAGCAATAGGGTAGAGGTAGAGAAAACATGGGGAAAGATAACGGCGAGAATTAAGCGGGAAAAGCAGAAGCGGGTGGAAAGGCAGAATGTACAGGTTCGCGACCAAATGGGGGAACTAAAAATAGGAACAATAGTTTACCGGAAATTGGGAACCAACAGAGGGAAACAATTGCTACGGTACGAGGGTCCATTCAGAGTGGTTGTTATTAGGGAGCATAACCTGGTAACTATTGAGAGCGTGAATGAGCCCAGAAAGAGGAGAACCGTTCATATCGAACAATTAAAGCTCCCAATGATAGAGTCGGGACATAGACCTACGGATTCGTAGTACCCTCACCGCTGTATATAAAACAGAGAAATATGTTTTTTTTGTGGCTGTCAAAACAAAACAAGTTGTAAAAGATTTTTTTTTTGTTGTATTATTTCATGTATAGAGGAAATTGTGTTTTTTTTTTGTTGTGTAGGAGTTCTCAAGTGGTAGGAGTTCTAAAGTGCTGTGTTTAGTTTCAGTGTTTTTAATTATTTTTTCTTATTTACTATTTTTCCAGTTGAGTGGAACTATTTTATTTTCTTTTAAGGATATACTGTAAAACCAATTGTAAAGTGTTAAGGCTGGTCACCGTGGGCTCCGATCTAGCAATATTTAAGTTTCCGAAAATCCTGTTCGTAAACTGGTGGGGGGGAGATAAAGACCGGAGACTGGCGGTATCAGCCTTAATACTATCTGGTAATGTAAATAAACAGGCTAAGTGTATATAAGGAGGCTTATGGAACGAATAAAGCAGTGTTATTTCAGAAGTCGTGTATGTTACATCTTTTCCCTTTTCCTTCTTTTTTTTTATTTCTTACGTCCGACGACGCTTAACTTATATATATATATATATATATATATATATATATATATATATATATATATATATATATATTTAATTGTAGGAAAGATGTAAAGGAAGGATAATAGGAGGTGCGCCAGATTCGTGGACAAGGTGTTGGTCTTGACCTTGGAAGGAAGGAGGAGCACCACATGCTCTTCAAGCCTTCAACTCAAGCCAGCTTAATACACTAGAAGCTATCAGCGCATTCATTCAAAAGGGCTTACAGCTAGAAACCATTAAGTTTTGGATATTCCTCATATGATGAATGCAACTTCATTCAGTCTGTTGAATGGCTTGGCAAATTTTTATATTCATATTTATGTTCATTTAACTGAAAAATTAACAGGTAAAATTATGATAGGATGTATTCTATAAACACCTAAAGGTAATATGAACTCATGGCGTATCCTGTTGTATTTTGAAAACTCATGTCGTCAAAGTCTTAAATTAAGGTCAATTCAATAGTGATTCCACGTGGAAAAACATCAAGCATTCAGCTTTTCTTTAGTCTCATGTAATATTTGAAAATCTGAATCTGAATATCATTATATCATTCTACACAAAGTTAATCTTGAGGAAATTATCCATGAATTTTGTCCCTACAATATGAATATAGAATGAATTCCATGATCATTACTACAGTCGTATATACTTTCTTTACCAATCGTCACAAAGTCAACTTCTTCTCATTCCATCTTTGCGTTAGAATTATTTTCATGGAGATTCGAGGTAGTTTATAATAAAACCACATAAGTTTATCATAAAATTCGAATATGGCTTCATTACAGCTCTCTTTGGTTTATGTAAGTTTATCAACGCGATTTTAAACCGATGCATCTAGAATATTGCCACCGAAATCCTATCGCTTAACAATTATATGTCCCACAAAGCGGATAGAAATCTATTTCTAATATGAAAATCTAAAACTAAACAATTATTTTCGCTTCGTCCGTATCAAATAATATACTTACTACTCCTTAAGGAGCCCGCCAATGGCTAGCGAACACCTTGCTATGACACAATATCTAAATTTTACGCCTTAGCCCCATTTGCGATAGATTTTTACACAACGCTGAATTGAGCGAACTGTAACTGGTTAATATAATTGAGATAACTAAGTTGAGGTGAATAAAATCGGGATGTAAAATTGCCGATCTTACAATTGATAACGAAAGAATTCCTAAAAAGTTAATATGCACTGATGCCGACTGGTAAGCGTCCGAGGAGTAAAACGAAGCGAAGTTGGAAAGATTGCGTTAAGGCTGAGGAAGTTGGGTTTGTGGCGTCCTGTGGATGAAATCATGTAGACATCGATTAGTGGTATCGGCATCGCACCTTCGGTTTCGCTTTAAGCATCAAAAAGTGAACTATAAGCCATCTAAAAGAATAACACATTGAAAGATGACTGATTGTAAATAAGCCATTTTCTCTAAGATTCTTGCATTCATTACGACTTTACTATTAAATACTCGTCATAAGAAATCTGTAACTACAATAATATCAGCAAACATTTTAAATTTAATTTCATTAACTAAAGATTGCCATTCTTCTTTTTTAATTCAGGAGTAACATAAATAAAAGTTTAATTTTACTTCTTTCCAAGTTAAATGATGTTTATTTCATAAAATACAATCGAATCTTATGTTAGAACAATTGTACTATTTACCTCGTTTTTATACCGTTTAAAAATCAAAATATATTTTTATGGGTGATCGATCCCCCCAATATTTCAGTTGGCAAGAATATCGTTTCGTCCCTCCAATAATTTTAAATTAAAAAAAAATCAGTATTAAATAATCTACATGAATGAATAAAATATCTAAACTAAAATCGATTAAGAAAACAGAAAAAGTCGACTAGCTTGCTAAGTAAAGTAAGTACATAATTATTCTACCAGCTCCTAAATATGCCTATATCCATAATAGTAACCTCTTGTAGATCGATGCCCTCAGAGAGGTCTATGTCTTGGTCCAGGTTTCTCGTTGATTAATATGCTGATGGAAATGTTCTTTACAGATGCTTAGTTTCTTATCTTTTGATGCAGTCAGGTTATGATATTTTCCTCTGATTCGTATGTTTTTCCCTTTATATCATATTTCCTTTCCTGATTGGCTTCAATATACCATATTGAATGATATTCAATATATCATGTGCCAGTTGTCTTCAATGGCTTGCGATGTTTATTTAAGAATGTCTTTTATTGGTATTGCTCCTGGCATAGGCGGATCTAAGGGGAAAAGGGAGCCTTACATCCTGAAACCACCTCCCCAAAATGGATAAATTATTTTTCTTTCATTGGTTCGTATTTGTTACTGTTGTAAGATAAATACTTAAAAAATAACAATATGTTATATATTTTTAAATTATAATGCATATACAACTACTAAATATAACCACGTCTTGTGAAAAAAAATATCTTTAAAAGCATTATTGTTAGTGTGAGACATTTTTAAAAGAACTTCAAGAATTACATAAACACCGTTTTATACAGACAGTTTCTTCCTAGTAATTATTGTTATGTAAATAAAAGCTTTTTAGGGTGGAGTCCCTCGCCAACCAAAATTAAATCCTGGATCCGCTAGTGGTTGCAGATATTAATTTTTCTTCTTTCTTCTATGACCTTTTCTGAGAAACACCTCTTGGCTTTTCGTTTTTCCTGGATGCATATTACTTATTTTCCTTTTGTTTTGTTTTATTTTTTATTTAACACAATCTGTAATACCTCACAATGTTGATCATCCCTGAAGCCTTCTGACAGAGATTAAGGAGTTTTTGTATATCGTTGGCTCAATTTTGAATTATGTTTCATATGTCTTTATTTCCACTTTATTCACTATATTGTTTATTTATTTTAGACTCTGATCAGATACTTTGTCAATCAGTCAGGTCAAAATTTTGTCGGCCTCACGATAGCTTCTTCTATCTTTGGTTTCCCTTACACACCAGCACGTAAACAATCACGAACACAAAGCTTCAGCTCGTTTTGAATTTCTTCCACATGACCATTTTTAGGCCTTCATGGGCTGATCTTATGTATGCGACAAGCATAACAACTCTTTTACCATCTCGAGTTCATCATGGTTTGGGTAATGTGTAAACGTGGTTTTAACATAGTAAAATTGTTGGTTTTTTATTTTTAAATTCATTAAATCTGAGCTGATATTTGAATTTTAACAATGATATAGTATTTAAAAAAATTGAAATTTTTTATCAGTAGAATGAATCATATGCATGGCTGTTAATACCCTTGCGTTTGGGTTTTCCGAGTGTCCACAACTTTCCTTGACATTATCAAGCGTTAAGAGGGGCTATTGAGATAAGGAATAGTTATAAAACAGCGAATTTCAAACGAAGAGGGTTTGTCCCATAATGGTTTCGTTTTTGGCTGTCCAGATCGTCCTATACTTGTTCCAGAGCTATATTTTATTGGGTAAGTGCCACATTAGTTATATTTTATGAATTATTGAAGGAAGTTAGTTCATTTTACTACGCATCACAGGAGATAAATAATCAGGAAACAGTCATTTTTTTGATTGTTTATTGTTGCCCATGAAGTTTCAATACATATATCTGGGTATGTTTGGGTTGAAATGTCCCCAAGAATAAAAAATCTCAAAAAGGGCTGTTTCCTGATTATTTATCTCTAGTAGTTATATTTTAATATCACTTATAGATTACTTTTCTCATTAATATCATCAATAGGAGAAGTAAGAGGATTGGCTGAAAATGGCTTTATCACTGAGAAATTCCCTGTATTTAATAATGAATATATGAAAGATGTCCAACAAGAAATTAAACATCTGGGAATAAAAATAAGAGGTTAGTAGTGTCTTCAAGTTCTATAACTTGTTATTTCAACATTTCTGTGAAACAATTTTTGAAAATCTGTTATAATAAAAGTTTATTTACTTTTGAAATATATTATTGATTATATATATATATATATATATATATAATCAATACATATATATATATATATATATATATATACACACACACACACACACACACACACACACACACACACACACACACACACACACACACACACACACACATACATATATTGAACACTAGCTTTTAAAATCTTATTTTGTTTTAAAATGTTTACATGAAGAAACAACTAAATCAATCAAATAAATTATCTATAAATTGATTACGTATTTTCTAATTTCTTCTTCTTTTTGTCCATCCTACTCCTACTTAATCCCATGCCAGTGTGAAATATCTTTTCATAGAGCTCTAACTGTGAATCCCGATTCTGTGCCCCTGTACCATCTGTTTTATCCATTTCCACCTTAAAACTTGTCTGTCAATTTCTTTTCCATTCTGTCCATCTGTCCATTCTCAGTCTTTTTTGAGGCTCCTTTCTCTCTGTAACTGCATCAAAAGTAGTTCTGACTATTAGAGTTTCCGACATTCTAATGAACTATTTTACTTTACTTGATAACATTGAGAAAACTTTATATCCTCGTCTTCCATTTAAAACCAAATAATTATTTTATTATGTATTTTGGATTTTAAGTTTAATTAAAGGACCATATGGTTTATTATTTATAATAAATTGGTATTATTACACAAATGTAGAAAACTGCATCAAACATATATTTACAGATTGATTGAATAATAATAATAATTGAGCTCATATATAGAAAAAATTGCTAATTGTTGTAAAAATTTTTAAGCTTCAGCTCAGTTATGAAACTTTTATGAGTTTTATAGGAAAGTGGAAAGTGGTCTGTGAAGGAGAGAATCTCTCTTTGACATGTAATGCTGACGAGGTAATAAAAATAATGGATGCAGAATATGGAAGAAATGATGGAACCACCTGCAGTTCATACCCTAACTTCAATAACTCACAATGTTTGAGTCACGAGAATGCTCTCTATAGGGTAAAACAGAGGTAAAAACTATATTAAAAATATAACATAATCACAGTGCACATCATTTATTATATTTTGTAAGGAAAATATTTTAATAATACAAAGAGCACTAAGAATGTTTTGCAATATAAATGATAGGATCGCACAATGAGGGAAGGGATGGCGCATGCATAGACCTGTCCCATCCTGCAGTAGCTGGCTGACTTACCGGGCTAGAGCCATTTCCCTTCCGACTGTGTTATTGAAAGGTGTCTCATCCTGGTATAACGTTGAATACATATCAATTTTATGCTACAACTTTGCATATGGTTTATGCGTGGATCACTGTTTGAAGAGGATTGTCCACACAAAAAATAGTAAATCCTCCAATGTAAATAATATAGTGACAGGTTATGAAGCTTTGTTTTATTGCTATGATAGCCCAACTAAGAGCAAAGTGTGGATGTTTGAAGATGAGGATACCCCTATGACATTCTGGAAATCCACATCTCTCAAGAAGAGAAGAGAATGGTGGCAGTATATTTAAGTGAGAGGCATTGTCGACCAACAGTAGTTGAAACGTAGGAGACTTTCACTGGCTAGTTGTACACTCATGAATGTCTCGCTAAAGTGATGCAAGCTTTCTATACTCTGGTCGAACTCAAAAATAACCACTCCTTCACCGTGATACTACCCAGCGTATCGTTCCAAAGTTTGCACAGATTGAAGGGAGGTATTTCACAAGCGATGGGGCCTTCGAGAGTTTTAGACATTAATTGTGCCCAGATCACAGAAGGAACTTCGCGGGGTTAATTTGAAGACTAGCTTAGAAGGATGAAGAAGTATATTTTTTGTGGTGTAAACAATTTCTTAAAATAAAGTTTTATTGCAAAACTTTCTTAATAACCTTTACAGTATAAAATACAGTTATTGTAATCTGTATTTTGTGAAAGATAAAAGCAGAGTTTATTAATACTTCTTTTATATTATTGCTTAAATAAGGAAATTAAATCATTTATTTATATCACTTTTACCTGGTTGCACCAACCATTGTTAACTTTAATTTTACTAACTTTGATTAGTTAATTACTGATTAATAAAATTTTAGTTGCACCAATCTTGATTACCTATAACACCCCATCATGTAATTTAGTTTAGCTAACCATTTTTCCGACCCTGTTAAATGTTTAACCAATATTATCATGTAAACTTATCTATGGTTACTTCATAACTTAACACAAATCATTCGATTTCAATTTCACAGGAACAATTTTAGTGACCACGTCCTTGTAATAGACAAGTACAGACAGAAATTGACTTGAAGAAAAGCTGGACAGGGTGAGCAAGTAGTATCCTATGATATACAAAACTTAAAAGATGAAATTATATGACCGAAATTTTGAGAACAAGTATATGAGAATAGATCTAAAATAACAATGCTACTGCAGGGCTTGTCTACAGAAGACCACTGGGAATCCATAAAAATAACCCTTGGACAAGTGGCTGAAAAGATCTTGGGACAGCAAACAAAAGTTCTTTAGTATGACTGGTTTGAAGACAAATACCACAGAGCATTCCAAGAGGAGAAATAAACAGAGCTTCGAAATCTTCAGAAAATGACAAGGCAAATCACATCTTTACCGCCAAAATAGGGAAGAGTCTAAGAGGCTTTGAAGAAGAAAGAAAAGGACAAAGGAGAATGAGAGGCTCAAAAAACTGTAAGACTATCACAAGACCAAGGAAACAAGAACATTTTGTAAAGGTGTAAAAGAGTTCCAGGATGGATTTACTCCAAGATCCAACTCCATAAGAGATGAACAGGGTAACCTACTTCATGATAAAGAGGAGTTTCTAGGTAGGTGGCAAAGATACTTTGAGGAAGTATTAGGAATGAAACGAAATAGCCCTCCTCTCAAGGAACCATTTAGTGTAGAAACTGGAAGAAGATATTCCACCTGAAACGGAGAATATCAGTGAAATTATCTTGGACCTTAGAAATAATAAGGCACTGGGAGGAGATAGTATACATGCAGAAATACATGGTATACCTGTACCACATTATTTTTTAAGTATGGCTTCTGAAAAAATGCCAAGAGATTGGTCTGGAGAACTAGTATGTCCAATATACAAAAAGGGGAGCCAAACTGAGTCAAGAAAATATCCTCCTTTGGAATAGTATACAAAGTGCTCTCTATAGTGGTCATTAGGAGATTACTAAATGGACTGAAAAAGTAGTAAAATAGTAATAGTAAAAAATAATATATAGTAAAATAGTAAGAATACCAATGTGGTTTTAGACTAGGTCGGTCTACCACTGATCATATATTGTCAGTAAGGCAAATGCTGGAGAAATTAAATGAGTGTAATGTAACTCTACACCATGTATTTATCAATTTCAAACAGGCCTTAGATACTATTGACAGGTAGAATATGTACAAATGCCTGCATTCTTTAGGGATTTCCAGAAAACTTATTAGGCTTATTAGCATGAATCTAAAGAATACATCCTGTAAGGTCAAGATCGGACTGAGATATTCCAAAGGTTTCAAGGTAGAGAAAGTATTGCACAAAGGTGACCCACTTTCAGTTTTGCTCTTCAACTTTGTATTAGAGTCCACAAGTCGTAAAATAAGAACAAATCCAGATGGTACCATTTTCAACAGACTGGCACAAATCTGGCTGTTGCGCATGGCGTGGTAATCTCAGCAAGAACAGTTCAAGCTTTATCAAGTGCACTGATGAAGTTCTAGGAGCAGCAAGGGAACTTAGGCTTGAGATTAATTTCATGAAGACAATGTATATGCAGACGGCAAAAAGGTGTGGTGAAGAGCAGACAATTCAATCTTGTCCAGAATCTTAATCTATAGTAAAGATCTTAATCTATGAGACTAATCGTAAGGTCGGTTGTCACTTATGATAGATAAACATGGACCTTAACAGCAGAAAATAAGAGTTTTGAAAGTCTGAGAAAAAAAAGTTCTTCATCGAGTATTTGGTGCAGTGAAAGTAGAAGATACGTGGCGAATTAGAACAAATAAGGATCTACAGGAGTTGTTTGGAGAGGGAGACGACATTGTCTCTTTTGTCCAGCTGGGCTGATTAAGGTGATTGGGACATACAGAGAGAATGAACTCTGGTAGAAGTCCTAAAAAACTGCTCTACAAGCAGCCATATGGTGGACGAAAATGGGGAAGACCTCAACTGTGGTAGCTGGATGATCTCGAGGCAGGCCTGAACACTTTAGGTGTACATTGCTGGAGAAGATATGCTACAGACAGAGCCGAATGGAACAAGCTGTTAATGGAGGCCCGTGGTACTTTATGAAAAATGTCTAGAAATACGTCACAAATAAGTTGACATTGCATGTTAGTCTTAGCCAACTGATTCATGTTAAAAACCAATTGGAAAAAGGGGTATGAACTTTAACTATGATTATGTATTAACTATGGTTAATTTAACAGAGAATGTTAACTTTAATCGTGACTGCCCTTGGTTTCGTTTTACCTCCATTAATTAAGTAATTTTCCCTCTAAATCTCTCTCAGTTTTTAACCCAAGTACAAAAACTTTTAGTTGAATTTATTGGAGTACTATATCAGTGTGATACAGTTCTTCATGTTTTATTTCTTATACACCATCTCCACTAGAGTATGCATACTTCTCTACTAGTCTTATTTCCAGTGTCTATTAAAGTATTTTCCTTTGACTTTATTTAACATCTATAATAAGACTTGCTGATTAATTTTTCCGAAGTCATTTGTTTCTTCAAATAATGAAGGAAATAAATTAGAAAAACTGATGAAAGAAAGAGGAAATTTACTGCACCTTTATAGTTTCTTAATTGAATAAATTCTGTTTATTCATCTCATAATTAGGAAAACCTTTTTTTTTTTTTTTTAACTACTTTTTTGTTTCTTCCAGATGCCACAATAAGCGAAGGTGCAATATGAAATCTTCAAGCGATGAATTTGGAGACCCTTGTCCAAATATGATCAAATATTTAGAAGTCAAGTATGTCTGTGAGCCAAGTGAGTTTAATCTAATTTGAGATTTTAACTTCTAATAAAAAAATCTAGGCGTGTTTAGTTCAATTCAATAAAAGTAAATTGAACTCCTAAAACTTTCTTCACTTTCTATCGTGTATTCCAGTTCTTATGCATCTAATAGAGTATTACAAATTGTGATATTTGATTTGTATAAATTTATTCATTCATATATTACATAAATTTATTTGATTTGTATAAACAACTTCTAGCTTTAAACTATGAGAAGTTCTCAGTTTTAATCCTCACGTTTGAAGAGGATGTTTGACAGGACTTTGTATCCGGCAGACAGGAGGGAGATCCCTCTGTAGTTGGAGCACTTTAGCTGATCGCCTTTCTTAAATTTAGGACAGATGAGAGACTTGGTTCGTGGGTCTGGTAAAACTTCATCTGTCCAAACGGGGATGAGGAGATCCTGCATATCCTTCACCAGTTCGTTTCCACCACACTTGATGAGTTCTACAGAGAGTCCATCAGCACCCGTAGCTTTGTTATATTTTAATCGGTTGATGACATCGAGGATCTCATCTTCGAAAGGTGGCTTTTCACCTATTTCTTTTCCCTGTGGTCCTCACCTTATCTCCCTAATTCCTCATTGAGGAGATCATTGAAGTGATGCTTCCACTGGGACAGTGCTCTCTGCTTGTCAGAAAGTAGATTCCCGTCATGGTCGTTGCAGATGTAAGAGTCATTAGAGTAGTGTTTTCGTCTCCTGTTTATATTCCTATAAAAGTTTTTGAAAAATAGTGGCTTATTATTAAAAAATCAAAATGATTGTTGGGGTCAAAAGCAAAATGGTGGTTAAAGTAGGTGCCAAGTAATATTTAATTTTTTATTTATACTCTTCAAACACCTGGGTCATTTTTGTCCTATATTACAATTGGACAACTACTACATAGATATGCATAACAAAACTACAGCTACCAAATACAATTTAAAGAATATCTATATATATATATATCTATATATATGTATATTGGCCCAACTAATTATATATATATATATATATTCGGAAAATTAAACCAAGATTTAATATTACTTTTAAGAATTGTTAATTTTAATATAAATATAGTTTATTTTCCAATATATTTACATTTGCTGTGTTCTGTAAAATAACGATTATACTCTTGCAAAATTTAGTTTATGACTGAAGTATGCTCTATGTAACATCCATTGTGTGTTCTTAATATAAACTCACAATAATTCTATTACCACAAGATTTTAATGAAATCCTACCTGTATTGGTTATTTTCAAGGAAAAATTAAATGTTTCACTCAAATTATTGATCATATTTTATTAATCTAGTAAATAGATTTTTAGAAATCTACATGGACTCTCATTTTGAGCCGTTAATTTAAAATTGATAAATAAAGAAGTATTTTCTTATTGCGTATAATATATTTACTGTTGGTATAATTTTATTTGTATATTTTTTCAGGGCGATCATCAATTAGAGAATCTGCAACTCTCTGTGAGGGTGAGAATCAACAAATTAATTGTCAAAAAGGAACATCAATAATGATAACTGATACTTTTTATGGTAGAAATGACAGAATTACCTGTTGCTGCCATCTCATGAACGACACCAACTGCATGGCAACTAATGCATTAGATTTAATAAGTGCAAGGTAATTATCGAAGCATTTAGAAATTTAAATTATGTTCATTGAATATGAAACAAGATTAAGAGTTATAATTTAAGAGTTAGAAATTCACACATCCTTTTTTAAAACTCTTTTAGTATTTCTAAAGCCACGCTGACGAATGAAACAGATTTTACAACATTTAAAAATGTTTTAAATTTCTTTTAGAATGATGAGTTACACTTTTAACCAAAGCCTTGATTTTTATGCAGTAAAACACCAAAAAATATGCAATATAATAAGCAATAAAAAACTCTGTAGTATATAGCAAAATATGCTATTAAAAACATGAAAAATGCAGTTACTAATCTCTAAATTTGCTAAAATTGCTGATTATTTGATTACTAATCAATCAGTAACGTATTTAAATATGATGATGTGCCTACAAAAAGTTTTGTAATAAAAAAGAAATTATGGAGGGATTAAAAATTAAAATGATTTATTAATTTCACTTACGTATATATGTAATATATAGTAAGGGTAAGTATTGCGATCATGAAAATTTTTGAATCTCAGTTTTCAACGGAAACACATGTTTTGAGGTCCCCTGAGTTCAAATAACCAAGTGTCGCAAAATGGTCTGTGTCTGTGTGTGTGTGTTAACAGTCTAGCTCATAAACGAAAAGTAGGACGAAACTGATATTAAGTATTAAAGGTTTGTGTATGGGCCGGATGGGACAGCAACTTTTTCGTTAAAATCGGCTAACCGAAAGTACCATTTTATATGAACGCTGAAACACATTTCTACAATTTTCTCAAAAACGACTCTTAACGATGTTGATCAAACTCGTTGTATCATTGTATAATTAAGTGGTCTTTAATATCATTTATGTCTTATCCCCGTTGATGTCACTTTACAGGGCTTAAATGCCCAATGTTCATATGTCTTCCTCTAAAGTTCCTTTAATATGGTTTATTTTAAAAATTTAACCATTTCGCATTATTCAGAGTTATGAAAAAATGCTACATATAACTTCTGAAAGAATTTGATAAGTTAATAAAGGAAAAAATAAAATAAAAATCCAGAAAAACCTGCGTTCCTGCAGACTGTAGCGCCTAAAGGAATATACCGATTTCAATGAAACTTCGCTAAAGTCATTTTCTCGATACCCTTTAAATTTATCTATATAACATACTTCAACAAAAAGAAGCTGGAAAAAAGTTACGAGGGATGTTAAAATTAAATTCCGAATAACTCAAAAAGTATACGCTTTTTTGTGAATATTGTATATGGTTTTTTAAAAGTTTATAGAATTTCATAAAAAAACAAAAAAATATCTTTAAAATCGGACAATTAGGAGGAAAGATATGATCTCTAGTTTTTTCCCTGAAGAGGTGAAAATTTGGATAAATTTAAAATATATTTTTTTATTTGTTGAGACTAAAAAAACCTTTTTTCTACAGATATTTAATAAAGTGTCTTTCCTAAGAAAATCTTTCATAAGAAAGTAGTACCTAAATTTATACTTTTATTCTCAGTTCTATATTTCAACACTGCAATCACCACCTCTGGAATCAACTTACTCATTGTCTGCATAGATAACTTTTTCAACTAAAAATATCACTAAAATGACATCACTCAAAAATGTTGAAATTGGAGTTAGTCATTCTGTGGTTTATAAAAGCAAAGAAAGTTGTGTGGTTTATAAAAGCAGATAGAGTGAATAGATTTTTATTGCCTGTCGTCGATATATTAAATAGACATTTTGTAATTATAATGGTCTTAATGACTTGTTATCTGTAAGCTTTAAACTTTAGCTCCGTTTAAGATGCACTTCAAAAAATTTTATAATAGCCCAGCATTGACAGAAAATAATTTATATTCAAAGTAGATCGGTAAATGAAAGTTGTGTGTTGCGCGCAACAGATTTTTTTTTTAATATCTAAACTAAAGAATAAAAATAACTAAACATATATGTATGCATAAATAAGGGTATAATATAACATAACCACATTAAAAAAAAATTAAAATATCAAAATAATACAAAGGAAAAAAAATCTGGTGTGTCCACTCACACGACTTTCCTACCTATTTCAGAAAAGTTTTTATATCTTTACATATGTTCATGAAGAAACAAAAAAGAATAGAACTAAATTTATTTTCCTGAAAATTGATCAAACAAAAGATTTGAGTACGATTTATTTGATAAATTAAGCCAATGAAACCGGCTTAAGGTAGATCAATGTAAAAGTGACTCAGGTAGCTGTGAAACGTTTAGATCCGTCGAAAACCGCATGTCGGAAATTTGACCCAATTGCAATACTTTCCTTACCTAGTATAGGTAGGAAAGTAATAAAATAAGATTTTTTTTTTGTTTTGTTGGTAATTTAATTACCTTTCAAAAGTTTTATTATAAATTTCACCGAATAATATATACTTAGGGAGTTAGGCCCCATAACATTTTTCTTTTCTTTATAACTTTTTTTCCTGAATTTTTTCGGGAATTTAGTCTATATACGAAAATTGAAAAGGCAATGATTAGAACATCATAAAAAATTTTCATCTAAATCATTAGAGACGTTTTCGCACTACAGTCTATAGAAAAACATGTTTTTCATTTATTCCACGCAAGCTATTGCGCATGGAGCAACGAATTTCTGTCACAGGCATCAGTAGTCAAAACCCTAAAAAATAAAAAAAGAAGCAACAAAATCAGTTCAGTAATTCCTGACAAAATCTTGGCACAGACAGACAGACAGACCAATGGCTAAAAATGTGTTTTTTGGACTCAGGGGGCTGTGAAACATGTAGATCGGTCGAAAACCGCATGTCAGAAATTTGATCCGATTGCAATACTTTCCTTACCTACTATAGGTAGGAAAGTAAAAATAATATAAGAGAAGAATGGTTGGAATGATCAATCAAAAAAGATAAAAATAAATAAGTATATAGTTTATTTTTTATTTTTGCTGATGTTTCGGCCCAAGGTTCAGGCCTTTATCAGGGCTACTATAACAGATAAAAATAAGTATGAGAAACTATTAACATTTCAAAATAAAAACATCTGCCAAGTAAGGTTAGTATAGCTTCCTCATCGTTTTCATTTGCTAAGAAATTTATATTAAAAGGACTAAAAATTTGCTTATGAAAATAAAATCTCTGGAAGAAGTCGTTTTCAGAAATTCAATAACCCTCAAAATATACAGGTTTGATATCCATGAGTTTTGTTTATTAGCAAATACTAAAATGCAAAAAAGTTCCGCATTTGCAGATTGCATATTTTATAATCTATAATTAAAACAAAAATTAAAACAGTGCATACTGAATATGTACTTCGCTGCTAATGGCTTATGTAAAAATTGAGTGTTTTTCAGGAGAGCATAAAAACCCATTATTTCTTTATGATTTATTAGTATAATTTTGTATTGTATTGCCCTCTGCTATTTTTATAGTATTAGTATTCATAGTAGACTACTTATTTCAATTGCAGACAGTATAATGTCAAAAATTGAAAACTTTTACATAAGACCTTGGCACTAACAGTAGTGATATATACTTACTAGGTATGTTTTCATTTATAAAATGGATGGAACAAAAAATCCATAGGAAAATTCAACTTGTTGTTTGAGCGGAGTTAACGAGACCAATATTTTCCTTCACTCAGAACAAAGCGCTTTAAGCTAGAAAATATAAAAATATGAGTGAAGTTGACACAATTTTGATATTTGAGAGGAAAATCGAGACCACAACTTCAATGGAAATAAATACAATTACAAATAAGACTTTTTTTTTTACAAATTCAGAGTAAAAATTACTTTAAATTACACAAAATCTAAGTAACCACAGTTAGTGTCATGCCAGTAAAGTTTAGAATCTGCCAAACACAGGTGGATTTCCGGGGGGGGGGGGCTTTCGGGCTGAAGCCCTTCCCCCCCCCAAAATGGTAAAATGTAACCATGTTTTATGGTAAAAAATATTAAAAAATTATGTCTTAAAGTATTATTGCTCGTTTAATTACATTTAATAGGACTTCAAGAATCACTTAAACACCATTTCATATAGGTAGTTAGTATATTTCTGTTTTTCCAATGTAATTATCATTATATATATGAAAAAAAAGCTTTCGGGCTGAAGCTCCCCCAAAATTAAATCCTGGATCCGCTAGTGCTGTCAAACAATACAGTATAAATTGATTTTTTGAATAAACCTAAAATTTTATAACCCCATAACAATATTGTAATAACCTAACTCCCACAACCATTAAATTGTTAACAATCATTTATATTAATTTTAATTATTAAATGGAAATCAGTCCTTAAAATGCCCTCGGGCAGTGGAAGGAATTTTTTACATGTATATATTGTATTATTATGTATATTATATATGTAAATTGTTTCAATAAACATTTTGGAGGGTAAGAAAAAAAAATGGAAATCAATGAAATTAATACAAAGTAATTTCTATACTGTTCTCCTAATTTCCTCCAAGTTTGTGTCAAATCAAATCTGCCACTTTCAAAGTACAGGCATATCAAATAATTCAGTTCCTGATGTGAAAGCGGATTTTTTTGATTTTTTTTTTTTATAGTATTAGATAGAATTTAATAAAATGTATTCCTATTTCATTTTACGTTAACCAATCCCTAAATTCCCTCCAAATTTGAGCTAAATCAAACTTGTGGTTTTAGAGATATAGACGTATCAAGGAAAATATATTTGTGCATATATAAGAGAAAGCAATGGATAGAATTCAATAAAATTGACCCTACATTATTTTTTCACAAATACCTATTTTTTATCCAACTTTGAGCCATTTCTGAAATATTGGCATATCTACAAAAATGCATTTGCGCGTGCATAATCGGAAGTGCTGGTTAGAATTTAATGAAATTGATATGAGACCATCTAGAAACCAACCTGCACAATTCCTGTAAATTTCATGAAAATCGGATTTACAGTAGTAGATGATATGCCCATTACATCGATTACACACTTTGGGGGCGGGGTGGCCGAATAGGCTAAAGCGTGTGCACAGCACCGCTAGTTGCCTGGAAACAGGATAACAGAGATTTGAGATGATATAAAAAGTACGAGTTCGCGTCCCAGTGCCGGAGAGGATTTTAAATTCCCCGCCCTCACCCCCCCGCCCGGGAAAATCCTGTATAGCCTAAAAGCCGAGGTAGGGAAAAACAAAAAAAAAAAAAGATTACAGATACTGAACCAAATTTGATCCTTAATGTCTGAAACATAAATAAAATGAGACTGAAAATTTTCGATTCTGAGCACATAGTTTTTTTTAACCTCTTGCAGGAATCCAGCTTCCCTACCTTCAGTAGTGAGGAAGCGAAATAATATTTAGGTGAAAGGTATGGTCACTCTAAAAATGTTGATAGAATAACCTTTTTTTTTTTTATTATTATTTTAATGGAATTTACAACTGTATTACATAGAAAATACAATAAGTAAATGTGAAATTGGTAACATGACATGTAAAACATGAAGAGAAACTACCCATTGGTAGAACTCAAATTAAAGTTCTATATTACAAGATCCCTGAGGCCATCTTCTTTTCAGACGCCTTGGAGGGTATCGAGGAGGAAGCAAGGTTTGAAACGAGAGGATTCGGATGGTTCTGCAGTTTGTTATGGAAGGACAGGTATCTGGATTGGGCCAAATCGGAAACATATGGAACATTAAGGTCTTTATGGATGATTTTATTTGTGACAAAGTAAGGAGCGTTGAGGCTTTTACGAAGGATTTTGGATTGTAAAGATTGGATATGAGTGGAATTCAATGGTTTAGTGGAGCCCCAAAGCTCAATTCTGTAAGTCCAAATAGGTCTTATTATTGTCATATATACGAGTCGTTTATAATTGATTGAAAGCTTAGATCGTTTGTCTAGTAAGTGCTGCAGTAGTCGAAAATGTCGGGCGGTTTCTAGTCGTTTCAGTCTGGTATGGGGGTTCCAAGTGAGTCGTTTGTCAAGGTGGAGACCTAAGTATCGGATTTGTTCGACAGGGATAAGAGGGCTATTGTTGAAGGATACTGTAGGACAGGAAGTCATAGGTTTACGACGAAGAGTGAAGGTTATTTGATGGGATTTATTGGAATTTATTTTAATCCTCCAGTTTTGACACCATTTTTCAAGGCTTGTGATGTGTGATTGAAGAGTTTGGGATGCAATAGATGGATCGTTATTAACTGATAGGATACACATGTCATCGGCATAGATTAACTGATAGGATACACATGTCATTGGCATAGGTGGTGATGACAGTGTTGGATTGGGTTGGGATGTCAGCTGTATAAACTGTGTAAAGGATAGGACCTAGGATACTACCTTGAGGAACGCCGGCAGACTGAGTAAAAAGAGATGAATAAGCATTGTTATGATTGCCTTTGAAGTATCTGTCAGTAAGGTAGGAACGGATAATGAGGAAGTATGTAGGTGGTAGGAATTCACGGAGTTTGTACATCAGTCCCGGATGCCAGACTCTATCAAACGCCTGTTCAACGTCCAGAAAGACTCCATTGCAGTACATTCCGCGCTCCAATGCAGAGGAGACTACATCTACCACACGATGGCATTGCTGAATAGTGGAGTGGGATGTGCGGAATCCAAATTGGTTATCTGGGATAATGTGTTTACAGTCTAGGATGGGATACAGGCGTGAACAACCTTAAAGTAAAATAAAGTAGTCAGAATAAACTTAAAAGCAATATAAAATAAACTTAACAAAGTTTTAAGATAGAAAATTACTTTATATTTCCTTTAAGTTTATTCTACCTACTTTATTTTACTTTAAGTTTGTTCTATGTACATTTTTAGACTTTACCTTTCACCTATATTATTTTTTCTTTTTAATGTTAATAGTTTTTCATACCTATTATTATCTTTTTTTTCGTAGTACTAATGAAGGTCTGAACTTTGGGCCGAAACGTCGCAAAAAATAAACTATATACTTATTTATTTTTACTGATCACCCCAACCCTCCTTCTCTTCAGTTATTCACTGCAATCAACCATTAATCCACAACTATGAAAAAACCAATAATTTTATTAGCACTTAATTAAATAAGCGTAGTAGTAAATATTGCAAATATGTAACAATAATTATGTTAACACATCAAAATTTTGTATGTTAATAGATAAAAATCTAACATGAGTTTGTTGAAACAATAACATAATTAACTACTTGTGGAATAAATAACGCAAACTAGATAAAACATTTGAATGATTTGCTTTGCAGATGCGTTCTGCATTAAATTAATCACTAGATGCATTTCTAAATTTCCTTTTGTTAAACCTAACCTTTTTTAAAAAAAAAATTAATAATTAGAATATGATATTTTTACATTAACAGATTTGGTAAGAGAAAATTATAACTACTTAAAATTACCAAGTTGAGATCGATGTCGCTGGGAACAATTGAATATTCGCCAATTAAAATTTTATTAATGCTTTCCAGAATTGTTTGATCAATACTTGTATTTTTTATAAGAAATTTTATTTAAAAAAGTATAAACAAGTTAATTTTATACTAATTTACATGATATAAACTACATACATTAATTACATAACTTGTTTATATAATTTATGCACAAGAAAAATAAGGAAAGAAGATTGATATACAAGCAATAAAATAAGCTAAATACATCATTTACAAAAAAAAAAAAATACAGTATAATTTCTATATCTTTTATACAATTAACTTAAAAAAATATTGATATAACATCCTGAAATATTAATAACTTTTATTATACGAATAAACAGAGAGAACACACTAATTAATTAATTAATTAAAGCAACTTCTAACTTTCTTCTAAAATATGGATTTCGCCTAGCAATATCCGGCCAAAACAAATTACAACTTATCAAACTTTTAAATATTATTATCAGAAATTATATTTATATTTTAGTTATTTAATCTACTCTAAATAAATAATTTACTCTGAGGTCTATTAGCTTCCATTTATAAAATTAATAAGTAAAATTCTAATCCTATCTATACCAACAACCTAATTACACTATTTATAAAGAAATCTCCACACTAACGGACTCCGGACTCTCTAGCTCGTCAACGGAAAGGACGCTAATTTAAAACCCTTTTTTATCCTCTGGAATAGGATAAAGACGTCCGTGTCTCACTATAACATAATAAGCAACCGGCCCTAACACGATCCAGGATCAAATAACCTCCATAAAACTCATATTCTAGAATGAGTAGGATGACTAGTTGTATATCATACTCAAAATTATACTTAGTGAGTCCATGATACGACTCTTCATATAATCCTGTTCTTTCGTTAATCCAGTCATCGAACTTTCCTAACTCATCTTGTTGTCTTTCCTGGAATTAATAGGGACTTCTGGACTAAAATAACTACAATACTTTTCTCTGTTGGATTTTACTCCTTTGAACTCGATTTGAAAGTTGAGAAGGTCTTTCTTGGTATCTATTAGATTAACTGTATGAGTTTCTACCGGAACTTCTGCTGTCACTAATTTTTCTTCAAGGGTTTCTTTCTCTTTTCTTAAGAGATTTTCTGATTCAATATCAATTGAAGAATTGATTTTGCTAAGCTATTCAGTAACAGTTTCCTTCTCAGCAGTTTCTGAGTGACCAAAGGAAGTTTTCTCAGCCAGTATAGTTTCTTGAACTTCAGTTATATTTGCAATAATTTGGGTTTCTAGGTTATCACAATCTTCTGTTAATTATTAGATTCTAATGTTCTGTTTAAATTATCCAAGTTGTTCTCTAAATTATGAATCATAGCCATTGTTTGTTTGAAACTTATTATCAGTACAATTCAATTTGTTGCTACTACTTATATTTATTTTTTTATCCTCCACATTATTTTCACTAAACTCATGAACTACATTTAATCCCGATAGACTTTCACTTTCCGTGCAACTACTGTTGGAGTTTTCACATTGTCTATTTTCATCAAGTAGACTTTGTACAACTGAATCTCCCTTATTTTCTACAATAACAACATCCCTATTAGATTTCCCAAGGATTATATTATTATGGTCTCTATCTTCCATTATTTCTCTCTGGTAATTTTTCATCTTATAAAAAAATTATTAATAAAAAACTATACAATTGAAACAAATTGTTTCTGTGAGTTGGGATCTGATTGTCGTGACCTAATGTTTAAAGAATAAGGCCCCACATTGGGTGCCAATATGTAATATTTCTCTTATATTTGTAACTAGTAATAATACCTTGGAAGACCACTTTATACTTTTGTCATACTTCCAAAAGAAATAAGAGGTTGTTAAATAAAAAACAAAATTATAAGAATGTTAATATAATAAACTGAAATTGACAATTATTTTATCTCAGATGTGGGTTACTGACAATCAGATCAAAAAACTCAGACAAACTATTATTATTTACACCATTTATACTAAAATTAAACACTGATTTTATAATAAAGTCAACTATGAATTAGCAAGCTAACCCTTTTTCTATAGATACTGTTTCTTCCTTTGTTTCATTAAATTCATTTGCCTTCAAATGCTTTCCAATGTTCTGCAAACACAACTTCCTAGATGGTAATATTAATACTGGGTTTTACCCACTGGAGCCAGGATCCCTTCTCCTCTCTTTTCTTCACTGCAGCCAAACAACTGCCTTCCAAAACAAAATCCTTTGTGACCCCTCTTCTGTTTGGGATTTTCCTTTCTGGAGAAACTACAGAGCAGCCAATTTCTTTTCCCTGAACTAGTGAAATTATTTTTGAAATTTAAATATCCCCTGACATTAGCAGAACTAGATTAGCTTGCCTTTAACAATTTCTAATAAAGGTGTATATCATGAGATATATATATATATATATTATGAAAAAGATAGAAAATATGATCTATTATTATAAAATTATTACAGGTTTACTACTACCAGTAAGTCCTCTAATCTATATATGTATAAAATAAACAAATTAGATTTATGACCTTTATCAGGATATTTTTCGGAATTTGTTTTAGGTGTGATTATAAAGAAAGCTGTACTCTGGAAGCAGTAAACCAAGTTTTTGGAGATCCTTGTATTGGCACAATAAAATACCTTGAAGTCAATTATCTATGCCTTCCAGGTATATACCGTTTTAAAATGAATAATTACAAAATGCCATATTATCTAATTATAATAATGTTAATCTACCAGTTGTTTAAAGATTAAACTGGAACTTGTCCATAGATGGCTCTAGCTGTAATGTAGTGACTGTTATCCCATGTAATGGGTGACCTTTTGTTTCTTCAACAGCTGATTTTGTTTCTTCCTTTTGTTTCTTCAAAAGATTTCTAACTCACAATGCAAGTTTCATGTTACAGTATTGTTTTAATAGTGTTGAAAATGTCAAATTTTGTGACTACTAAATACAATTTGGGGACTATCAGTTTTCTGTTACCGCTTAAAGAAAACTAGTTTAGGAATTGCACCGATTACTTATCAAAGTATGGTGGGTATGTTTTTGGTAAACCATAGTGCTTCGAGCAGGTTTAGTGATTTTAGCATGAGAAATTAAGAATGTGGAGCGAGCATGGATGTGATCTTAAACAAACTGTTAAAACCCAGAAAAGCATTAATGTTTAAAGATATTTACAACAAAATACCAATTTGTTTCTGATATTGCATGAAAAACGACCAGAACATCAAAAAAGATTACACAAAGTAATTTTTCTTCATGATAATGAATCATCGTACAAAACTAAACCAGTGAAGGAAACTATTGAGGCGATCTGTTGGAAAATATTAGAGCATGCAAAATACTTATCAAACTTGGCTCCTTCTGACTACTATTTATTTTCTCTGATGTGGTACATACGTACTCATTACAGCTTCACTTATTATGAAAATGTACAAAATGGCTTGATTACTTATTTGTCACGAAAGAGTAACATCTTTTTTGATATGGTATTCATAAATTGCTAGACAGATGGAAAATATATATTTTGAATACAATTTTTTGTAACGTATTTATGCAATGAACATGTATTTTCAATACAAAAACTCTGGTTTCATATTTACACAAATTTGCTTATTAAAAAAATATGTTTTTTTTTTTATATAAATATAACAAAAAATATTAAGCTTTGCAACTCAATGGGCTAGAAAAAATACATGAGAGATAATGAAATGAGTTGTCTTCAGGATGGTTTGTAATCTTGGTCAAACATGTATGGGCGGGATGGCCAAGCCGACCTGATGATCGAAGTTTGAGAAAGAAAACTAATTATGATTTCAAATTCTGGTGGGACTTTTAACTCGACATAATTGCCCTGCACTCTCCCCCAGTCCGGAAAAACTCTGTATAGCCTACAAGGCATGAAAGGGGAGACAAAAAAAAAGAAGAAAGAAAACATCTATGAAATTAGCAAGAACAGTGGATTGGAGGGATTAGTCTGGCAGCTTTACAATGCTTGAATAGTAAGCATCGTGTACCTGATTACTAGAAATTCATTGAGCACTGTGCTTATCCGATAATTGCAATGATGCTTTTTTCTTTCATTAAAATTATGGTTAATTGTCAATTATTACTGATCCTAGTTAAAAATCAAATGACACAATCAGTTCTTCAGATTCAGCTATTCAAATACAAAGGAATAATAGGGTGTTATGGGGGGAGGGGGGAAAGAAGTCTGTTTTCCAAAGGTAAACTAATGACCCACAATTTTTTATAGACCCACTTTCAATCATTGAGCATTTGAAACAAGTATTGATCATAACGTTATTATTACAGATAAAGTTCACCATGTAAGGAATTGTGAAGGTACTGAAATAAAAATAGGTTGCGAGAAAAGTTTATTCATTGATGTTATTGATGCACATTATGGCAGAGCACATCCATTTGTATGCCTCAATGACACAACACCTTTTTTAAAACTAGGCTGTGGCAGCAAAGACATAACAAGTTCAGTGAAAGAGAGGTAAGAAGATCTTCATTTATAAATCTGATAAATCTTTAAAATATTAGTAGCAACTGATCTGAACAATTTTTACTTTCACTTACGTATATTCTTTTTTTTTTTTTTTTTCTTTTTATTTCATCTCAAATCTCTGTTATCCGGTTGCCAGGAAACTAGCGGTGCTTCACTTACGTATATATGTAATATATAGTAAGAGTAAGTATTGCAATTGAGAAAATTCTTTAATCTGCGTTTTCAACGGAAACATGTGTTTTGAGGTCCCCTGAGTTCAAATAACCAAGTGTCGCAAAATGGTCTGTGTCTGTGTGTGTGTGTTAACAGTCTAGCTCATAAACGAAAAGTAGTACGAAACTGATATTAAGTATTTAAGGTTTGTGTATGGGCCGGATATGACAGAAATTTTTTCGTTAAAATCGGCTAACCGAAAGTGCCACTTTATATGAAAGCTGAAACACATTTTTACAATTTTCTCAAAAACGACTCTAATGATTTTGATCAAACTGGGTTTATCATTGTATATAATTAAGTGGTCTTTAATATCATTTATGTCTTATCCCCGTTGATGTCACTTTACAGGGCTTAAATGCCCAATGTTCATATGTCTTCCTCTAAAGTTCCTTTAATATGGTTTATTTTAAAAAGTTAATCATTTCACATTATTCATAGTTACAAAAAAAAAATGCTAAATATAACTTTTGAAAGAATTTGATAAGTTAATAAAAGAGAAAAAAAAAAATGCAGCAAAACCTGCGTTGCTATTGATATTGTATATGGTTTTATAAAAGTTTACGGAATTTCCAAAAAAAAACCCAAAAAAAATCGTTAAAATCGGACAACTAGGAGGAAAGATATAGTCTCTAGTTTTTTTCCCTGAAGAGGCGAAAATTTGGATAAATTTAAAATATATTTTTTTTAATTTTTGAGACTAAAAAAACCTTTTTTCTACAGATATTTAATAAAGTTTCTTTCCTAAGAACATCTTTCATAAGAAATAAGTACCTAAATTTATACCTTTATTCTCAGTTATATATTTCAACATTGCAATCACCACCTCTGGAATCAACTTACTCACTGTCTGCATAGATAACTAAAAATTTTCAACTAAAAATATCACTAAAATGAAATCACTCAAAAATGTTGAAATTGGAGTTAGTCATTCTGTGGTTTATAAAAGCAAAGAAAGTTATGTGGTTTATAAATGCAGATGGAGTGACTACATTTTTATTGCCTGTCGTCGATATATTAAATAGACATTTTGTAATTATAAAGGTCTTAATGACTTGTTATCTGTAAGCTTTAGCTTTAGCTCCATTTAAAATGTACTTCAAAAAATTTTATAATAGCCCAGCATTGCCAGAAAATAAATTCTATTCAAAGTAGATTGGTAAGTGAAAGTTGTGTGTTGCGTGCACCAGATTTTTTAAAACTTAAATGTGTATGTTTATTTATATAAAGAGCAAAATTGTAAAAAGTTACACAAATCAATTGCCATTGTATGAGAAGAAGCAAGCACATTATAAGGTAGCAAACTGAAGTATTGATTCTCTGGAATATAGGTAATCATGTAAATAACCAGCCAATGTCTTGCCAATTCAGACATCACCAGGGCACAAAAGAAAAAAGAAAGATTATTGTAGGGTTTCTTAAAAGTTATAAGGCGAAGTTTTTGCTAAGATGAGGATTTTTTGCTATCTACCATTGCAGAAGTCATATCTAATCTTTAATATTGACAAATTATTGGTAATATCCAGTTCTGTATAATGTCAAACTGTTCCATGAGGCGATTGAATAGTCTAATGGATAGTTGCAGAGTTTTTACGATTGATCAGTCCATTTAATCTCTTTTGTGCTCCCTTAATCTGTATTTTAAGGAGAATGGAAGTATAATGTCCATACGTCTCTCGAGTATAGTGGAGGCGCTGTCTCCTCTGAGCATCCTGACAGGCTCCCCCATTCGAGGTGGCTACCTAGGGAAGGTAGCCCTTAGGTGGTGAGTTCTGTGATTGACCTTTTGTAATGTGAGGGTGAATGTAGTGTGCTGTAATTAGTATTTTTGTGTGAGTGTCAGTGTACTGGTCCTTCAACCTCGAGAACCAGTTGTTGATTGCTGTATAAGTTGATTTTTCTATTCTATTCTATTCTATAATTACTGGACAATGTTGCTGCCACTTCCGTACACCAAATATCATTGACCATAGTAAATTTAATCACTGTTTTCTCAAAGAAAATATGGTCTACTTTACAAAGATGTCTAAAGATGGTCTACTTAGAATTTAATTTTGTTAAGCAGTTTTTGAACAGCAATTCTTTCTTATTCAATAAAAACTGTGACTACTTTAATAAAACAAAACACAAAATTTGTCTTAACTCCTTTTTCTTTCAAAATTGGCCCATGTATCAAATGAACTTTTTTGTTGGAAACTTTGTTGAAAATAAAATTTCAGGTAGGAAAAATGAATAAAATTATTATTTTCATAAGTTTTTTTTCAGATGTCAAGGTAAAAGTTGGTGTGCATTTCCTGCTTCAAATGAAATTTTTGGTGATCCCTGTTTTGGTTATACAAAACATTTGGATGTTGAGTATAGCTGTAATGGTGAGTTATAATTTATAGAACAAAGTATTACACTTTAAAAACTTATTTTGTCAAAATAATTTATTTTTATTAAATTGAACTGGCCTGCTGGTGTACGATTTATACTTTTTACCTACATTGACCAGTAAAAGTTTTCATACATCGACTGATAGGAGATAAAATAATCAATAACTATTCTTTCCTAAATATTTTATATTTAAACACCTAATTATAACTTCAATATCACTTTAATCAATTTTCTCAAGAATATTTGCCTAACAATAGATATATGTATTTCTATTACAAATTAAAGTATAAAAAAAGAATTTGAATGCAGCGAAAGTTTTCATACATAGTTGTATTGCATAATAAATTATCTATTTATTTTTCTCAAAAGTTTTAAATTAATATTTTGAATGAACTACTTTGTTTTAATTTTGTGAGGTATTCATGTTTAACTAAGGTATTGATTAGATCACCTTTGAAGACAATTGGAGGGGCATTTCTTACCAATTCTTTAAACAATTTAGTTTTAAACTATATTAATGACCTGTGAATTGACATAAGCCCATAAATGATTTCATTAGTTTCATTAACCAGTTTTCCACTATCGATGAAAAATTAGCAGTAGTATCAACAGTTTTCCACTATCGATGAAAAAGTAGCGGTAGTATCGATAGTTGTTAGACTAAAGATTTATTTGCACTCTATTCTTTGTTCATTTACTTTAAAATGCTGCATAAGCTTCAATTTAATTAATATAGAATATAACATTTAAAATTAATGTTTATGTGAAATGTAACATAAATATAAAATAAAACATTTTAAAATTATAAATTTTATATTTCGATTTTTACAAGATTTAAAATCCAATTATATGGTCACAGTCATATTGCAAACAATCTAAAGAAAGCAAAGACAATTAATTAAAATTGAAGTAAAGAAACCTAAAAGTAACGTTAGTAAAGATAACTAATTACACGGATAAATGTTGGTGTCTAAAAATGGGATTTTCTTTCTCATAAAATTGTAATAGTAAAAGTAATAGTAACAAGTACTAATATATTTTTAAAAGTATAAACAATTTTTTAAAGGATTCGGTTCTATATGTTTTGGCTTCTTCGTTGCAACATCATTTATATCTTTCGAAACAGAATTATTAAGAAGAAATCAATATAAGTCAATTAATAATTACAGGCAAAGTATTTTACAAATTATAATATTTTTTTCATTTTTAAAAATAATGTATATTGTTACAAATGCTTTTAAAAAAATGTACAAAACAAAATTAATAGAAACATAGAAGCTACTTATGGTAATGTACTATTTTTTGTTAAAATAAAGATGTAAAAAGTTTCATGCACTCCTGTTTTTAGGATAATTAAGATTACCAATTTTTTGTGTTTATGGTTTTAAACATTTTAGAACTTGAATTATTTAATATTTTCGTAAATAAGTTTATTTTTAAAATAGTGAGACATAATTAAAATAAGATAATTATTTCAATAACAGGAGTTGCCATTTCTCCGTTCCTTATTTAACCGTCCTCCCCACTCCTTATCGATCCAGCTGGAACAGAATCGGAACAAGTATGGAACGAATTGCCAACCGTTCCTCCCCACTCCTTATTGATCCAGCTGGAACAGACTTGGAACAGGTCTGGAACGAATTGCCAACCGTTCCTCTCCACTCCTTATCGATTCAGCTGGAAAAGAATTGGAACCGGTCTGGAACGATTTGCCAACCATTCCTCCCCACTCCTTATCAATCCAGCTGGAACAGAATTGGAACTGGTCTGGAATGATTTGCCAACTGTTCCTCCGTTACTTATCGAACCGGCGGTATCGATAATTCTCAGTTGTTGGAACAGCTCCGTTCCGTTCCACAGTGATATTTAAGTTCCCATTCCCGATCCAGTTCCATTGACCCATCCCTAATATAACCTCATTTGTTTGGTTACCTTTGTGTGTAACATTTAATTTTGTTTATATTTATTGTCAAATGTATCTCTTTGCTGATAAAAGTTTATGAACAACGTTCATTCCATTCATCATATAAATTTCATAAAATCATTTCAGTTATTTTGAAATAATTTTTTCCATTTGGTATTTCTTTTTCAGAACTTATGCCAGTTATGACTTTTCAATGTATTTATTTATCTATTTTATATATTTATTTAGATAATTTTATAACTAACTCTTTTTTTTTTTCAGTTGTTTAAGTGCATGAAATTGTGGCAAAATAACATTATAGATTCAGCAAGCAGCTCTGTTACCTTCAATATTAATAGTTTATAATATAATTTTAATAATATTAATAGTTTATACCTGACTGGATTGAAAGACCTAAGACTGGCCTCTCCCCCCCCCCCCCGCCATTGTATGTTATGATTTATGATTCATAGTCTAATTCACTAATTAGACTATGAATCATGCCCCTTCAAATATATGCCCCTTCAGGGATATTCGTTTTGTAAAAATAAAAAAGAATTAACATCATAAAGGCTCTCTCATTCACAAATATCCCTTCCAATCAAAAATTTCTTTATTTTACAAGATAAGTGCTCCCAGTCATATGGCATGTACCAGGCCCTCCAATATTGTTCATTACGATTTGCCATTGTTAAAGCCATTTAAAGAGTACTTTTGCTTAGCTAACTCAGCTGAGTCGGGGGAAGCACCCGGTACAGAGGTGCGCCCCCACCCTGAGAAAATTCCTGGATCTGGATGGAAAATAACTGGGTGAAACTAAAGCAATACATCTATGCAAAAAGAAAAATTCCAGAAAGAAACAGCATTGGTGCAACATGATTTCAGTAAAGAACACAATTGTAGAAATGGTTTTCAGAAATAAAAAAAAATTATGGTTTTTAAAAATAGGTTTTATTAGTAATAGGGCTATGAATAAATTATAACTATTTATAATATGATATTTATGAACTAGTTCAACAATACATAAAGATTGTGTTATAATGTAAGTTTAATTTAAAAATTTTAGTTTTAAATGTGAAGAAGTTTAAAATAAACATAAGCTTACAGAAGGAGGTTTTAGTATTTGACTAAATGAGTTAGGCCGGGCATATACGTTCCGGTGTACCTGTCAGATAAATCGGCATAGCTAAATTGGAAAGATGTGCCTGTGCAAGCACATATACATTACGGTAAACCAGATTTTAGCTCAGCCGAGAGATAGCTTGCAAAGACAAAGCGACACTATTGCTTTACTTGATTAAAAACCGTACTAATTAACCTAAGAACTATAAAGGTATACCGCAGTGACTCACACACGTATTCAGGTCTACAAAAAACCAGTGCAGATAGAAAATAATAAATTTTGATTCTTCTCCAATCACCTGCAGTTTGGCCTGTTGACACAACCTCCGGTTTACTGGAATGTTTATATGCAGCCTTAGGTTGACAAGGGCAATTCAGTCCATATGTTTTTAATTTTGTAAAATAGGTATGCAAGTATAAAATATAAAATGAAAATAATTAATAAAAAATTGTAATTAGGCTGTGATGTTTGTTTTATTTATTAAAGGTTTTTTCCCTTTAAAATGTTATCAAATTATGTGTTTTTATTAAGACTGATAAAGTGAAGTCCTAATCTACAAATTTAAATATATATATTTAATTAATTTTTTTAGTTGGAAGACTACATATTTATAACTTATTACTAACCTAGCATTATAGAACATGATCAAAATAGATTTTTTTTTTATCATTTATTTCTTCTTCATTTTGCATCTAGTGAGATGTTATTTGATATTGGGTATTCAATCTTAATTTCAGTTGCTTAATAAATTTTACAAGTATACATGATTGTATCTGTAATAGGTATAAATAATTTTTCAAAAATTTGATGCACATTATTGTTTGAAATTCCAGTTGAAAACTTGAACTCTCATAAATATTTTAAATATTGTTTACCCAGTACATTTTATTGTTCAATTAAAGCATTTGGAAATAATACTTAATATTCTAGCATTTCTTTTGAACATTTAAAAATATTTGATGTGTCTGTCAACGAGTTCCTTGGAAACATTTATAAATCAATTTTTAATATTTATTTAAAATATCTTGTGCCACCTCTGCACTAGAACAACCCTTTGGGCCGAAACATCGGCATATATAAAAATAAATATAATTTTTTTTTTACTGATCACCCCAACCGTTCTTCTTTTCAATTTTTAATATGTTTTCCTTTCTTAGCTATAACTGGACTCACTTACAATATTAATGTATTTTGCTTTTCCTACTGGTTATATATGCTGTGTTGACACCAACAAGAATAATTTTACTGTTTATTTTCACTGAATCATAATAAGGCTTAATAGTGTAATAGCTAGCATCTTATTTTATAATAGTAAATTGCCAGGTTCAATACCGGGTTCATCATTCTCTTTTTTTTTAATATTGAATATTATAATTTTATATTTATATAAATATAAATTATGGCCTTGTGTAATATAATTTTAAAACAATTAAATTAACATCTGGGTTACTTACATTTTCATTAAATAATTAATTATTTCAATAATAAAACAGCCCTAGAATATTGTAAATTTAATTCATTATTTTGAGGTTGTTTTCCTTTTGTAGTAATATTTTATTTCTCTTATTTATTAGTATTTTGAATTAAGAGAAATATTATTAATTTATTCTTTCATTTATTAATTTGTTAGCATGTTCATTTCATTTGTTACTATTTTCAATATACTGTAATGTAAACGTCACATGGGCATTTTAATATTGGCGCAAAAGTGGTAACAGCGCAAACTACTGGGAGGAAGTGCGTGCGGATGGTGGGGGAAGCAAGCCTCATGTAAGTCAGAAGGTGATGAGCCACCAAGACAGAATGTGACGAGCCGCCAAGAGAGAAGGTGCCGAGCCAGCAAGCTGAGAAAATAGAAATCGAGTACTAACCAGTCGTGCTTCAGCTGTCGTCGAGCTCACATCGCGGATGGTGCTTTTTGAAGTTGCGGCATCTCTGAAGTTAGGATTAACTATAGCTCCTTGTGTAGCAGCCGCCGCCTCGTGTCTGGTTTCCAGGGACAGATAAGCTTGCTATTTTTCTTACCTACTTTACACATATTTCTTAACTTACTTATTCAATAATCTTATTAATTGTTTATTTATATCATTTCATTTCCGTCATATTCTTAATTTAGTGACTTATATTCTCTATTATATAATTACATATTTTTATATTTTTTAAATTTACCTATTAGTATTAAGTTAGGTTGTAATAGTTAATTGAAATGTAGTTTAGGGTTATTTAAGTTATAATAATTTAAAACTAATACTTCTCCTCTACTATCATTCTATAAACATTTTTATTCTGTATATTCTTTATTAATTTTCTGCCTTTCTTATATTGTAATATGGAGGTGCCTCCTGGTCCTCCCGATCTATCTACCGTCCTAACCAAAAAGAGAAAATGGGCTCGCCCTAAAATTAAATTCCCTCCGGACAAAATCATTCCGCAAATCAGAGATACAACTCCAACATATCTTGTTGCTAAACGATCCGATCAAGAAGACTTTAAAAAAATCTCTCCATTTTTTATTCAAAAGGTGATCGCTCAGTTAGCAGGTGATGTTAAAGCAGTAAAAAAATTAAGAGACGGTTATTTATTGATACAAACACTTAATGGACAACAATCAAACAGACTTTTATCCGTTACAGACTTTGGAGGCCAAATGAAAGTTGAAATAACACCGCATAAAACTTTAAACTATAGTAAGGGCGTTATCCGTTGCTATGACTTCCAATACATGGACATACACGAAATAAAGAATGAATTAACTCCGGTAATAAAAGATATCGTCAGGATAAAATCAAAACGGAACGGTAATGAAATACTGACACGTAACTATATAGTTACCTTTCCAACACCTTTACCTTCAGAAACATTGCAAATTGGATACGAAACAGTTATAGTAAAGCCTTACGTACTGAATCCATTACGATGTTTTAACTGCCTAGGATTCTCTCATCCGACATGACAATGTAAAAAAGAATCAGTATGTGTACAATGCGGCCAGGGAAGACATGGAGAAAACATAAGGTGTAATTTGCCGGCTAAATGCATAAATTGCAATGGTCCTCATAATGCCCTAGATCGCTCATGTACCGAGTTCAAAACACAAAAGGAAATAAAAGCCATACAAATCAATAATAAAATATCACTTTACGAAGCAAAAAAACATTTATAGAGAAAAAAATCCCATACAGTTAAATAAAACATTCGCGGAAATAGCCAAAAATCAAAATAATACAAACGGAAAAGTAGATTTTGCCTCTCAGGCTAATATTCTGTACTCTTTCTCAGTTACTTCAACAAATTCACAGATAAATAAACCCAATGAGATTATCTCTCCTGATGTCCAGGCCACACCAGCTATCTCTGATCGAGAGACTGCTCGACCACAGTCAACCGAAGTTGGCAGCCCCGCGCCGACCCAGACTGCTCCCCTCCTCTTCTTCCCACTCATCTACCCTCCCTGCCACCACTTCCTCTCTCTCCTCCTCCTCTTCGGCTTTCCCTTCTGCTCCCCTCCCCAACTCTTCCTCCCTCTCTTCTCCTACCCTCTCCACCTCCTTTACAAATCTCCAACTCCCCAATCCCGATCTCGCTACACCACCAGACGATAAATCTGCTTAAAATGTTGTAGATGGGGAAGAATATACCCTACAAAAGAAAAAAGGAAGACCCCGAAAAAAATCCCCAAATAAAACAAATAATAAATAAAATAGCCAACAACTAAATATCGCTTTTATTCAATGATTATTAGTATTAAATTAAATTACAAATATCATCTCCAAATATGTTAATATATATATATTTTTCTATTCTATACCGTACCTAAATCATGACCCTAATCCAGTGGAATTGCAATGGTATTAAAAGTCACTTCAACGATTTGAAGCTAATAATGGAAGATGAAGATCCTTTTTGTATATGCCTCCAAGAAACGCATCTAAAGCCCTCAAACCAATTCACCCTTAAAGGCTTCAATATCTATAGGACAGATTGTGCTCCAGATTACGAGCGAGCATGTAGAGGCGTAGCCATAGCCGTAAAAGATACCGTTTATTCCCATCCAGTAGAAATAGATTCCCCACTTCAAGTAATAGCTGTTACAGTTCATTTAAACACAACATTCACAATTTGCAACATTTATCTCCCCCAAGACAATACTATAGAGACAGAACACCTTCTCCATATTCATAGGCAGTTGACAAAGCCAATTTTGTACACTGGAGATTTCAATGGCCACAACCCATTATGGGGCTCACAAGAAACAAATCCTAGAGGTCGCATTATAGAAACTTTCTTAGATTTAACGAATACTCTGTTACTAAACTCTGGCGAAGCAACATACATAAGTTCTAGCTTTGGTACATTTTCATCCATTGATCTCTCTATATGCACTTACTCACTGATTGATAATATAGAATGGACAGTTCTACCAGAGCCTTATGGAAGTGGTCATTTCTCAATTCGTCTAAAATTCAGAAGTGCAAACTGCAATAATTACAGCGTCCCTCGTTGGTTATTAGAAAAAGCAGATTGGTCACTATTCACGTCTTTAGCTGTCCCACCTCAAAATCACCCTAACAGTATGAATATAGATGATGGGTGTAAATCTATAACAGAGACAATACTTACGGCAGCAGAGTTCTCAATCCCTAAAACCAAAGGCCATTACAAAAGGACACCTGTCCCCTGGTTCGATAGTGAATGCAAGAAAGCCATACAACTTCGGAGAAATGCATTTAAGACATTTAAAAAAGACATTTAAAAAATATATGAATCAGGTTAATCACATTGAATATAAAAAAACAAAGGGCTGTTTGCAGAAGAATTATTAATGACAAGAAAGAAGAATCATGGAAATCATTTGTTGAGTCCATTAACTCGTCTACCCCCTGCAATAATGTATGGAACAAAATAAGGAAGATAAGAGGAACCAATTCTTCCTACAAATATACTCTGATATACGATGGAAAACTATGAGATAACCCAGACATTGTTGGAAGAACATTTGCCGAATATTACTCAGAAGTTTACACGAATTCTAGAAATAATATGGCTCAAGATCTAAACTTCTCAGACAATAATGCATATTAAGATTACAACATTCCATTCAGTATCTGGCAACTCCAATCAATACTCCAAACTGTCAAAGGATCTTCACCAGGACCAGATAATGTACACTGCTCCATGATACAACATCTTCCGAAAACTACATTGAACTGGCTTTTAAATTTTTACAATCATATTTGGCTTAGTGGTAAGTTCCCTAGCAGCTGGAACGACTCTATAGTAGTCCCAATATTGAAGAGTAGTCAAGATAAACGTCATCCATCCAGCTACCGACCAATATTTTTAACCAGCTGTCTATGCAAAGTAATGGAACGAATGGTAAACAAGAGACTCGCATGGATCCTAGAAAAATATCATCTCATCCAAAACTTACAATGTGGTTTTCACAAAGGCAGATCAAGTGTAGACCACCTGGTTCAAATGGAAGCCGAATTACTGTATGCATTCATCCAAGAGGAGCAAGCTATTGCAGTTTACTTCGATATGAAAAAAGCCTTCAATAAAACTGACAAATTTGCTATCTTAAACAAAATACACTAGCTAGGATTCAGAGGTAACTTACCAAAATTCATTCAAGGATTCCTTTCTAGTCTCTGCTTTCGCGTCCGTATAGGGAAACTGCTATCCAAGCAATTTAGACAAGTGAGTGGAGTACCACAAGAATGTGTTTTAAGTACAACACTTTTCGCACTGGCGGTTAGTGACTTGGGAAAAAATCTTCCACGCGGAGTCAAAGTAATGCTCTTTGTCGACGATCTTGCAATTCTATACAGAGCGAAAGATGTCCTATCTGTAAATGATAAGCTCCAAGAAGCACTGAATCGTATTGATGACTGGTCGAAATCATCGGGACTTTGTGTCTCTTCTGAAAAAAACTAAATGTATTCACTATAGCAGAAAACGAAATACTCCACAATCGCCAGAACTTATTTTAGGTGACGCCATCTTACCATATGCCAACACTTGCAGATTCATGGGATTATTATTTGATAAACGTCTATCCTGGGAACACCACATAAAATCACTCAAAGATACATGTACTAAAAAACTTCAACTACTGAGAGTACTTAGCGAAACTAACTGGGGAGCAGACAGAACTACCATGATTAAAGTATACCAAGCTCTGATCGGCGCAAAAATATATTATGGTAGTTTTGTCTACGGCTCTGCCCGGAAAAATGCTATAGCCAAGCTCGACTCCGTGCACCACACTGGAATACTACTTGCAACTGGAGCCTTTAGAACAAGCCCAACCCTGAGCATTTGTGTCGAATCTGGTCTTACACTACTGCACTTTAGAAGACAGAAACTTGCAATAAACTATATTACTAAATTATACCCGCAAACTTCACACCCCTCCCATAAATATGTTTTTCAATCTAAATTCTCAAAAAGATTTAAAGAAAAAAGGAATACCACATTACCATTGGCAGAAAGAATGTCTCTTATTATAAATAAACTAAAACAAATAGCATTACATGAAATAGAAAAAGAAATAGCCCCTTGGATCTATATAAAACCTAAATTAAATCTCCAACTCACCCAATTCCCCAAAGATACTACATTACCTGCAGATTACAAAGAAAAATTCCACAAAATAATCATCACGTTACCTGAACATCTTCTAATATTCACCGACGGATCCAAATCAGATACATCTACTGCTTCAGCCTTTGTCACCCCTGATACTACCTACAAATATAAATTACACCATCTTTGTAGTGTTTACACAGCAGAGATTAACGCCATAGCAATGAGTCTCCGATACGTCATGAAGAAGCCAGTTGCAAATGTGGTTGTGGTATCGGATTCCCTAAGTACTTTGAAAGCTATGAATAATATGTATCCAGACCATCCAGGGATACACTGCATTCTAAGTCTTAAAAAAATGCTTCATGGAGTTGGAACAAAGGCACATTTTATCTGGTCGCCTGGCCATATAGGAATTAAAGGAAATGAAATGGCTGATAGAGCAGCAAAAGAAGCTCTTACTCTTCCAGGCCGCGGTAAAGTTTTTTTGACACCATCTGAACTAGCATGACCTCTGAGAGAAACCATATTCTAAGAATGGCAAAGACGGTGGGACAACAGCGCACCCAGCAAATTAAAACAATAAAGAAAGAGGTGCAACCGTGGACCAGCTCCAGACGCAGCAGTCGTAGAGAAGAGGTCGTCCTCATGCGGCTGAGGATCGGACATACTAGACTGATTCACCTCCATCTCATAACAAAAGATTCTATCCCCAGATGTCAAAAGTGTAATCAATCATTGACTATAAAACATATTTTGGAAGAATGCCCTTTTTACACCTCAAGATTAAGAGAACTCGGAATACCCCAGAATATATCAGCATCCCTGGGAAGAACTCGTTACCAAAGTCATTAAGTTCCTGGATAGTGAAAGACTTAAGAAACACATATGACGCTTATAATTAATGATCCTTTGCAGATTTATTATTATTATTATTTATTTATTTTTTAATTTATTTATTTTTTTGTTTATTATTATTATTATTTTATTTTTTTTTGTACCAACCATCCAAATAGTATTAAGTGATGTTACTTAGTTGATCGGGGGCTTATGACCTGGATGTTTTACGCCTAGACATCGAAACAAACAAACAAACAAGGAGTACTCTCCAGTCTGAAAAAGATAGAGGCCACTAGTGACAGGCGTAAATGCATGAGTGCCAACAATGACATTTATATTGACAGAGGGAGAGAGCCAAAAAGTGTAGATCAGGACAAAATATTTTATAAAACAATTTTAAATTATATATAAGTGTAGTTAGTAGTTAAGTAAATTAGTATAGCTTACAAATAATATAATTTTAAATGAGTGTTCAGTTGTCAGGACCCAACCTGAGAATTTATGTTATATGTTAAAATAAATAGTATATTGAAAAAGAAACTCGTTGTTTGATTTTGGAGGGAAAGAGGAACGTTACAATACATAGATTTTCTGCTATTCCGCATTTGGTTTTTTTTACATATTTATCCTGAATGGATTTCTTTTTAATATTTTAAAGGTTAAAAAATGAATTAATTAATAAGGCAATAAACAGTACAGTACCTATGGCTTGGTAGAGCAGATTTGGCAGTTCACAATTAAACGCCCGCTGCCTACACATGCTGCTTATTAACATTAGATTGCACAGAAAACCGTTGTATCTTTGTTGCTCTATTTTTCAGGAAAGCATATTTAACAAGACCTTTTAGATAGTTACTTTCTCTAGAAACTCCCTAATATTTTATGAAAATGGCCAGAGTGTTTCATTCCCTCTAATAATCATTTGTTTTAAACATAACACACAAAAGAGTTCAATAAACTGTGCAGGTAATAATTACATCAATTTGCAGATAATAAAGCAATAACAGGGCTACTCCTTTGTGGATGGCACCCTAATCTTCCATCTCCCAATATTCTCAAAGCGACAGCACCTATGTAATTAAGTCAATGACAAGAAATGGGGATGGGTCCTCTTTTTCCCTAATTCTTACTACCAGAATTTTACATTTACATATTTTTCTCTTATTAATTAAATCACAATTTTAGTTATGATAATTATTATCAATATTAATTATTAAACTACTTCATGAGTTATTTTTAAATATATGACAATGAATAATCCATTGATAGGGAGGGAGAGGAGACCAAAGACTTCACCCCTCCTTGTATGATTTATGGTAGCAGAGACTGCCTTGGTGGTGATGTATATAGTTCAATTTTTACGATTTTGTAAGTAAATCCATCAATATTTTAATAAATCGAGAGGAATAGGGTATAGAATATAAAAAAATAACATATCAATATATATATATAATAAAAAAAAATACTTTTTTATTTATTTAATTTTCAAAGTAGGTTTTAAACAACTTGGGTGTTGTGTTGTAAATTTTGTGTAGGGAATACAATACTTGTTACAAGTTGTACAATTCTTCAAAATGACCCTGATATAATAAGTTTTGCATGGTTCTAGGCCTTCTATATCTAGGATTTTACTGAAGTCAATGATCTTGCCAACGAATAATTCATGCCATGCCTCTTCATTCTCCATCTTTGAAAAAACAAAACAAGTAACTGATAAAATGTTTTATAAACTTTCTCTTACAAATAATAAAATTAAAATATTATTCTCAATTTTATTGTAAATAATTTCATATGTTTTCTTGTCACGTATTATTTAGTATATATACATATGCATTATAATTTATTTATTTATTTATTTGGTATTTTGTTGCCTCTACTCTGTAGGGTCGTTGGCAACGCCTTTAAATTACACTCTGTTGCAGAGTTTTATCACTTTCGTTAACGATTTCGTCAGGGTCAGTTATAATGTCTTGGCCACTCTTTATACCAGGCAATTTCTTTGTTTTGGAGATCCCCTTAATGCTTTTCACTTTATTCCAGAGCTCCTTCATTGAAATACTTTGATTTAATGAAGATACGAAGTTATAATTATAATTTAAAAAGAAATATATTGTGATTGTTTAATTATTTAGCTCAGATCACTCACAGTTTTTTTTTTTTTTTGGGGGGGGGGGGTCCTTCCCTTCCTCGCCGTTAAGGCTATACGGGATTTTCCCGGGCTAGGGGGTGTGAGCGGGGATTGAAAAGACTCCTCCGGCACCGGGACGCGAACTCGTGACTATTTTTATATCTTTGATTCATCATATACCAGGTTGCCGGGCAACGGCGGTGCAGTGCACATGCTTTAGCCCATTCGGCCACCCCGCCCACACAGATCACTCACAGTGTTTAGGTGACAGGTCACAGGTAGATAAACAGGTTGGAATCGCAATGGAGTAATATAGGAAGGCCTTAACTTAACTGACTTCCCCTATTCCAGTGACTTTTACAATGAAAAGAAGTAAGACTCCTTCCTATGAGACCTGTCTTCGCGTGTCCCGAGAATGCCAACCATACCTGCCGTAATTGGAACCCTACTGACTGATTCTGCACCAGAGTGTGGTAGATCCTAAGGGCTCTCCATACTATGGGGCTTCCAAATCACAACCACTACATCTATAATCAGTGAACCACAAGCAGTCCTGACCATACTCAACAAGTAGTACCATTCATATTTTTAGATGTTTTGGTCTCAGAAGCCAAGAATGATCTCTGACCCTTTTCTGACCCCTATCTTAGTTTTGGTCAACCTCTTTTTATAGTTCTGTAGAGATGTTCTGTCAGGATCATCTTAGGGATTGCTTCATTCTCCAACCTAGCAATGTAGTCAGCACATCTCAGTCAATTAGTTTATGAGTTGTCATTTAAATCTGAGTTGGATGATAGGATGCAATGGGATGCAATGGAATAGGATAGTAAGAAGCAAATGTTGCTAGGAAGGAATCGGGATGGACAGGGATATCAGAAGTAAAAAGGATATAAAGGACGGGGTCCAAGATGCTTCCTTGAGGAACACCGGCTTCAACTGGTTAGGAATTGGAAAATTCTGATCCACAGCAACCTCAAAAGGTGTGATCAGAGAGGTAGGAGCCCGGCATACAATACCTGGTATAAAGCTTGAGCTATGTCCAGAAATGCACCATAGCAATATTTCTTGCTTTCCAGTGCTGCGGAAATATGATCGACCACTCGAAGTCCTTGTTGGACTGTGGAGTGTTTTGAAGTAAATCCAAACTGATGGGAAGGAAGATTTTTGGATTCTATAAAGGGTAGGATTCATTTATGGAAGATCTTTTCAAAGATTTTTAAATGGATTGGAAGTAGGCTAATTGATCTATAGGGCATCGAAGTGTTGGGAGGTTTGCTGAGGTTTTAGAAATAGGATGATAGTGGAATGTTTCCACAAAATAGGAAAGGGTGGTTCTTAGGATGGTCTTGGGTTCCATCCTTTACTTTCTTTTTACCGTAGATATCCCTGTCCGTTCCGATACCCTCCTGGAAACATTAGCTGATGATACCGCTATCTTTTTAATCAACTCAAATCCTAAAACAGCTTCCTTTAACCAACAAATGCACCTCTCTCTGATTGAACACTGCTGTAAGAAATGGCGCATTAAGATTGCATTACCTTCACCCTTTGTCGTAAATCCCATCCACCAATTTATTTTAACTCCATCTAGCTTCCTTCCTCATATACAGCCCGGTATCTTTGCTTTCTCTTACGATATTGACATATTGGAGCAACGATGCTAGCAACGATAACAAACACATGCATTTCAATAAAATTCTGCATAGTGGGGATAAGAGCAAGCCGACTAAAAGCGCTGCTAAAAGGTATAAAAGTGATCACATAGTGGAGCGACGATATTAGCAACGAAAACAAACACCTGCATTTCAATAGAACACCGCATAGTGGGGACAAGAGCGAAGAAATCAAACATGCATGTCTTTGTTGCTCTCTGGTGATTTTTCTCAAAATTGACATTTAGCTACTTATTACTGAAGTGTTTGATCACTAATGGAAATGTTACAACTGTTGCAACAAGAAAAAAAACATTCAAAATTTTAATCTTTATAACTATATTATTTCTCAAAGATGTTTTATGCTACATCTTCGTCAATCCTTCATAAAAATGAGCTTATATTTTGATGTTCTTCTTCTCTTTCAGATGAAAAAAAAAATAGTTATAGCCCTCTGAAACTTCAAAAAGAAAATTGATAAAAGAAATGAAACTTTATTTGCTAATAATTCAAAATGTATAGATTATTTTTTATTGTACCCATGATCATTTGAAAGATTACTAAATTATTAACTGAGATAAATGTTAATGTAATTCGTAAACATTTTGGTTTAAAACAAGAATGAAGTTTTATAATAATTTTCTTTTCCTTGGTCTATTACAATTGCCAAAAAAAAAAAAAAAAAAAAATAGGAAACGATTACTTCATATCATGTTATATTGAATTTTTAATTTACTTATCGTTTCATCATTTGTTCACGGACCAATGTTCTTTGCAAATTATTCGCATGGGCCAACTAGTTTATAATTATTTCCAATTGAAATTTACAAAATATTTAAGAAACTTGAATAAATTTATTTTTACTTTCACTTATTTATATATGTAATATACAGTAAGGGAAAATACTGCGATTGAGAAGATTTTCAGATCTGAGTTTTCAACAGAATACACGTTTTGATGTCCTCTGAGTCCAAATAACTAAGTCCCGCAAAGTGGTCTGTGTGCCTGTGAGTCTGAGTGTATGTGAACAGCTCAAAAACGAAAAGTCTTACGAAACTGATATTAGGTATTTGAGATAGGTATATGTCTCAGATGTTACAGAAACTTTTTCATTAAAATCAGCTAAGCGGAAGTGCCATTTTATAACAATGGTGAAACACATATTTACAATTTTCTCAAAAACGGCTATTGTTATTTTGTTACTATTGTTATTGAACTCAATGAAAGTAGGGTATAAATGGCGGTTCTACCCCACTTTAATCCCAGAATTTGCGGAGCACTTTTGGACTTTGGACCCTGGGCTATTCTTACCTTAACCACCTGTACACCACGTGACCAATATAATTTATTTTGATTGATCTTAATTCCTAATCTCTAACTTTAATCCCTAATCCTAATCCTTAATCCTAATTTGTATTTTTTCATTTTTAAGTTCGACAGGTCCGGACCTGTCTCAACTGGTCTCATCTTGTCTACCTCAAGTAAATATAAAGTGTAACGACATAAATATAGACATATATTGTGACATTCTACGATATCATGTCTGAACTGGTCCCATCTTGTCTACCTCAAGTAAATATAAAGTGTAACGACTAAAATATTTATTATTGCAAACGAATATAAATTATAACAATGAAATATACACATATATTATTACAAATGAATATAAACATAAATAGTAACGAATAAAATATATATTATTACAAAAGGAATATAAATTATAACAATGAAATATATACATATATTCTAATAATTTTACGATAATATATCATAAAATTAACAACAACGTCATCACCCCTCCCCTTCCCCCTCTTCTTCTCATCAACTTTTATATATTGTTTTTTTTTTTTTTCATAAATATCAAAACGTATTTAATAATCTAAGAATATACATCTCCAATATCACGAATATTGTAATAAATCGAAATTCGATTAATCGATCTTAAAACTAGTATCATTTTCTAATACTACACCTATAATAATCTAATAGTACACTCTAATAACGAAAAATAATAAATCATAAAGTTAATATACGTAATATTATTTTCATAACATATGTTATATAGAAGGCCGTGGAGAGTACAGCTGCGTTAGGCGACAAGTCTCTTCACGTTTGAACATGCATAGGCATGTAGGGGGACAAGGTCCACTGCGAAGGAAGCGGTAGGGTCGGAAGAGAGTGGTGGGGGAAACCATCAGCCAATCAGATTCGAGGATACAACCGGAGGTACCCGTGTGCCTACCCCCACTACTCTCATTCTAGCTCCAGACTTCACAGTGTTCCTATCGTACTTAGTGTCCTCTGCGTTAGAACTCTCTCTCTTCTTCTACAGTTTTGTTTAGATTATTAGTTTAGTTTCTTATTATAGTTATCTACAGTGTTTTTTCTTTATTTCAAAGTTATTTTTGTTTCTTCATACTTTTTTTTTTCTATCCTAAGGTAAGTTTTTTCTTTTTATTTAGTTCTCTATTAAAAATTTTCTATTATATTAACATTTTTCTTTTTGGGTTTTCTTTTTACATCTTCATATTCTCTTATTATAGTGTTCTTTTTTTTTCTCTTACTATTATATATATTTATTAAAGTTTAAATTTTTTTCGTTTCGTGTTTTCTTTATATTTATAGTAATTATTCTTCCTTTTTCTTCTTATTATATATATATTTAAAGTTATTTTCGTGTGTTTTTCTTAATATCATTTTCAAAGTAATTGTTCTTTCTTTTTGTTCTTATTATATATATATATTTAAAGTTATTTTCGTGTGTTTTTCTTAATATCATTTTCAAAGTAATTGTTATTTCTTTTTGTTCTTATTATATATATATATATATATTTAAAGTTATTTTTGTGTGTGTTTCTTGTTATCGTTTTTGAAGTTATTATTCATTCGTTTTCTTATTGTTATATA